GAAGTTTATATTTTATTTTATGCTTGTTATCTATTTTTTTTATTTCTCTCTCCAAGTATATTATACACAATATTCATTTATGTTACTTTCAATTCCAAAATAATTGCATGCCATATTGAATGAATGTGATTATCTATTTTCTACATATTTATAAATGTGTTCCTAAGTTCCGATTATCTAAATCTATTACAAAAATTCACTCAAAATATTAAAATTGTTAAAGTAATGTTCATAGGTCCCTTTTTTACACAACATTTTCAAAGCCCTCTTACGCAGACTAGATCAGTTTTCCAAAAACAAGAAGAGAAAAAAAAGATGATCTTTAAAGAATGAAGAAAAAACTACAACAAAAATCATGTATTTTATCTATTCAAATTGATATATGTTTGTTTGGTCTCCAAATACAAACAAAGGATCAAATATGACCATAATATATCTCGTACTGTTTTAGCAAAAAAGAAAACATCGCAGATTTTGCTAAGGTTTCTAGTTATCATCAATAAAATATTTTGCAAACTTAATCTGATAGTTACATCCCCCAATGAATGCATTAAACAAAGTTTAATTAGTTGAGATGTGGCACACTACGACTAGAATATATCTCATAGCTCAAATAATATCCACAAAAGTATTTAAAGATTAACTGCTAAAATGATTTTCATTTCAATAATAAATCTCAAACCCCATACTGTTATATATTATATTCATATAGACTAAACCAAATTTAATTTTGTTAGGATGTTATCCTTCAATATTATATTTCAAAATGATTTTAAAAAGAACTGCACACAATGATCACTTCAAATCTGTGGTGTAGAAATTGGATCATCATACTGAGTGCCTGTATCTTTTAAAATATACATGCAAAAATACACACTCTTTTTTGGCCACATACAATATATAAAATCTGGGGAAAAAATTAAATTCTGCACTATTCATCTGTTTTTGAAGTCAATTTTTGTATTTTCTTTTGGGTAAACTCAGACGGTATTACGAAATTAAAATTACAAACGCACGCACACATGTGAGTTGTTTCGTGTGAAATGGAGTGCGACTTTGAGTTCTACTTACAAGTCAAGCAGTCCATGTAGCAATGCATCAATCCAATGAATTGATTGTAGACTTTTGATAGATATGTTGTGAAAGGTAAGGACAATTTGTCGATGCATGCTTCTTCCGCTGGTGATTAATGTTCTTTTGGAAGTATCATCTATACATATGGCCTACAAGGCTGACCACAAATGAAATAATGCCAAGAAAATGAAAATGTGGCCCAAGAAGTGGAATTATATTTTCTAAAGAGACAACAAAGTTACGTTCTTCTCATTACTAATAACGTATTTTATGGGATTACTTTATAACCTATACAATACAAATGAAAAAGAAAATATGGCCCTTAATTATGTGATAAGAGACCACTTACAGGATCAAAACTTTTCTTCACCACTAACATAATTTTCTTAGCTCCCTGATTTAATCAACTTGTTTTGGGAACAACTTTAATGTCTGAATAGTCTACCATGCGGATTTCATTTATGCTCAACTATTTGTTGGGTTATTAACATGAATATATTTTGATTTAGTGTTCTGTCCATGTCTTTGTTTGGGTAGTCTTAAAGAAATTCAGCTGTTATTTATATATCCATTTTGGAGATCTTAATTTTTTATAGGGTAAAGGTGCATCAAGTATCCTAAAGTATTTTGTAGTTTGTCCAGCACTTTGAAGTATTTTTTAGGTACATCTAAACTCTAACATCCTAAAGTATTTTTTAGTACAATTTTACATTTAGCTGTTATTTATAAATTTAATTTTGTGGATGTATTTTCACTTTGAAAATTCCCTAATTAAAATAAATTGAAGGCTCAATTTAATAAAATAGATTATACGCTCGTTGAACAATTGCAAACTGAGACTACATCGAAATTAATATTTTAAAAAATAATATTGGTTTACAATCATAATACTAAAATTGTACGTTAATCTATTTTTATTTATATTTTTGTGACAAAAGATACTATATTCTCTGTTTTTTTTTCTAACAACAAGAATATCTTCTCATCTTTATACCCATTTTTTCTACGCTACTTTTTCAGACCCCGTTAAAACACTAGAGTCCAGACTACAGATCAGTTACGCCAAAAGGAAAAAGAAAGAAAAAGAATAAGACGATCTAGAAAGAATGAACAATAAAAATTAACATAAAAAACACTAATTTATACCTGTTTGGTTGGTTTCCATATACATAACAAGGTATTAAAGATGACAAAAATATACCGCCTCAAGTAAAAATTAAAGAGGTTTTGTTACATTTTTCAATTAGTTATATCGTCCACAAAATATTTTGATCACAATGTTGGCAAAAAAAGTTTAACAAATTTAATCATAATATGTCAGTACACATCAAACTTTAAGGGGTGTTTAAGTCATATTTTTTTGCCACATACTTTAAAAATCCTGCCATAAGTATATTTTCGAAGGCCGCTGACAATACTGCAACAAGTGCTTTCTTAACTTCTTTTCCTCTCAGTGAATATTTAAACTATAGATTGATTATGTAGTGAATGAATCATATAACACTAACATTATGCAATTCTTCTCGGCTTTTAGACATAACAATTTTGCACAGCTAGCATTGCTTTTAATTCTTTTCATGTTAATTATGTGATACGTTTTGCTTCCTTTCAAAACTACTGTACATGCATTATTTCTTTTTTTTTTAATAGACAATCAATATGCACCATCAATATGTATATAAATATATATAGTATTTATATATAGTGGTATTATTTAGGTGTATTATTGACGTGAACTAAGTGGTATTTTAATTTTAAACCCAGATGATACTACTAAAATAAAATCTTCATATAGGAGGAGATAATTAGAAGCAGCTTCTTATGAAATGGAGAGTAAGACTGAGGTATGCACCAATCAAATTTAGACTTTTTTGGGTTTTTACCAGAATCAAATTCAGACTTTGGAGATATATGTTTGTGAAGGGATAATGTATCCAAGCAAGCTTCTCACTATCATTCTTTTGGGGTATTCTCTCTTATCAAACTAATGCAATGGAAATGAAATTACATTTTGTAAAGAAATAAAGTTTGTTCTCGTCACTAATATGCATTTTGGTTATTCTGTAGTCTATGCTAATGAAAATATAATCTTTGCTATGATAATGAACCACTTGTAGGGTTAAAACTTCTCTTTACTAGCTCAATTTTCTTTCTCTTTGGTTCCATTTGGGACAACTTAATGTTTGAAAAGTCTATGCTTCTGAGGTGGATCCGTGGATGGGTGAGTCCTTTTCATTAAAAAAGAAATTCATAAATACTTAGTTATTGAGTTTGCGGAAATATTGTTCTGTTTATTTTGGGATTTTTTTTTAAAAAAAAATCCATATAATCTATTCATATATTTATTTTTGACTTGGCTAAATTATCATAATTCATGACTCCATAAAATTTATATATCAAAGTATCAATAAATTCTGTTTAATTACATATTCATCTATTAATAATATTAAAAAACCTTTAGAATATTCAAAATTCAAAGGGAGGGCGGTAGGGGGAAGAGTTCCTCAACGTTTAAAGACTTCGGCTATACTCATCAATGCACAAAGTATCAAAGATAAAAAGTGATATTTATGTGCTGGCCGAATAAAAACTGTGATATCTATGATTATGTTGTTAAACTAAATTTTAAATTTTTAAAAGTTAAACACTAATTTCAAAATGAAAAAAAACTCAAGTCCCCACATTAATAATTAATCTCCTATCTAGCTGAACTTCTTAAATTTTATCATGAGATGTGCCTTTTTGCAACTCGCGTGTCCTGACTTGTAACGGAGGGAGAGAGGGAGTGCGATGAAAAGAGAAACCAACATTTTTGTCTGTCTAATTATTGAAAGATAGAGAGAGATTTCTTTTGGTTTACTGAGAAAAATAAAATTGTTGGCTTTATATATTTATAGAGTAACTAAATAAATTCTTAACCAATTAGGCTTCGATATAGAGGTCAATGATTCAGATTTTCCCAGTGCATCCCAATCTACATGAAGTTGTATTATTTACGTGCATTTTTAAGTGTTATTTTTCTTTGGACCAAGATGATATCAACAAAATAAAATATCCATACAAGAGGAGATATTTAGAAGTAGTTTCTTATGAAATGGAGTGTAATGTCTTTGACGCGTATGTTTCTTCTTACCGACGTTCTTTTGGAACTCTCTCATATTAGACCAAATCAATGAAAATAAAAATGTGGTCTTCCATGTAATACCACACTACTTGTGGGTTAAAATTTATCCTCATCACTAATGTCATTTTCTTTCTTTTTCGTTTTTCTTTTTTGGATGACTTAATGTTTGAAAAGTCAACCACTAATATAAATATTTACACACACATTAGTAATTAATAATTTGTATACTAACAATTTTATTATTTGCTCTACTCGCAAATCTTTTATCAAATGATAATTTCAATATTCATATGTATTAAAATATACAGTAGTTTCCTTGAATAATTAGCTGAAAGCTTATAAAAAATATGCATAAATTGATTAATTGAATTAACCACATGTAATGGGAAAGAGGAATAATACAAAACACAAATTTCTTTCATCAATTTAGATTTCATGCATGGTGGTTAATTTGAATAAAAGAATAACTGTCTCACCCAAAAATTAAAAACAATAGAAAAGAAAATGCAAAAATATTGAAGGAACAATGTATCCACGTACGCAAGCGTCTTTTCAATAATAAAAGTGCGGTCCCAGAAATGAAATTGTTCAACACGCAATGAAATTAAAGGGCAAAGCTTCTCCTTATTTCATAGCCTGCCACACGCGACCACAAGCAAAATAATTAATTTTTAGTTGAATTTCTTCCAACCTTATCACGAAAGATGTCCTTTTCCAACTACGCAATTTGTTTGATTTGGAATCAAAGAAGTATAAAACGTCGTGTATGTTAATTCCTGGATGCAGAATACTTGAGATTTTGATAAGTCTGATATGTTACACATAATGGGAAGACCTTCTTCCTTTGTTTTCCTCTTCTTACTCCATTCCTTCATGGCCTCCTTAGTTTGGAGTGATACAAATATCACTAGTGACAAATCTGCACTTCTTGCCTTTAAATCCTTTATCACTTCAGATCCACACAATTTCTTAGCTAATTGGTCTGTCTCTTTTTCTCCATGCAGCTGGATTGGTATCACATGCAATACTCGTCATGGAAGAGTCCACTCCTTGAATCTTGATGGCATGGATCTTAAGGGTACCATATCTCCACAACTAGGAAATCTCTCATTCCTTGTTGAACTTGACCTCAGTGACAACGATTTTCATGATCAAATACCAAATGAGCTAGTTAAATTGCGTAGGTTGGAACTACTCAATTTGAGCTGCAATGACTTTCATGGGCAAGTTCCAATAGGGATAGGAGGTTTATCTTCACTTGAGAAACTAAATCTTCGAAATAATAGTCTTAATGGAATTATTCCACCATCTCTATTCAATCTGACAATGTTAGAGACATTGGATTGGAATTTTAATTCCATTGAGGGGACCATTCTGCTTGAGGTGGGAAGACTTGAGAAATTGACCATTTTACGTCTTGCGGGTAACAAGCTTTCAGGAAACATTCCCCGAACAATTTCCAACTTGTCTTCACTTGAGTTATTGAGTTTGTCTTATAACACTTTGTCAGGTATGTCTTTGATTATTTCTAATATTTATATTTGTTTTTGTTTTAAGGTAGCGTATTTGGTTAGCATAATCTTATGCTAGTTCTCTTGATTGTTTTTAATTTTTAATTTTTTTGGTTATTTTTATGAATTTTTTTAATTTTGGCAACATTTTTCTATTATATTTTAAAGGGAAAAAACCATTCATCATCAAAATCATGGAACGGTTTATACAGTCACACCACGGGTGTAATAACATATCTAATAATGGGCTTGTCATAAGTTTCTGAAAATATGTGCTTATTATTCTGTCATTAAAAATTTTTAAAGGGTTTTTTCAAGTTGAGTAAACCTTAGAACAAAATATTTGGAACATTTAATTTTGAATGGGATAATCTAATTTTTATTTTTATTTATTATTTATTAATAATTATTGTTGTTTAAAAAAAATTTTAGAGTTAACAGAAATAATTTTTCTGGGAGTCTCCCAAAAAACGGGTTTTAATAGGAATGATGAAAAGGAAGGACCGATTGGATTTCAATATATTTCTTAATGTCAATGACCATGAGTCCATCCAATGGATTTAATGAATGGCTATTGGCCCAGATGAAGAAAGAGGGTTATACTTTTAAATAATAATTGTAGTTGTGGTTTATCATTTAGAATATATTTTTGTTATTTTTCAAAAAATGTGCACCTCTTACTGTATTTTAATATATATATATATATATATATTGTCTCATGTACATAATAACTTGTCACACGTAAAAAAAAAAAGGCATTGTTATTGAGATCGGAAATCTTTCTCAACTAAAATTATTGTATCTCATCTTTACGAAAAGTAAAAATACAGTATATATGGGAATCAGCTTAGTGATTTAATTACGTGGTTGCATTAAATTATATTCCAATATTTCATAAGATATTTCTGAATAATGATTTTGCTAAATTGCTTTTAAAGACATGGAATATGATGCTTTCTTTCAATCACAAAGTGAATATGAATAAAATTAAAATGGTATACTTTTCAGAATCTATGAGTACCATGTGTGCTGATGCATCTAATACTGTGCTTTTTTTTTTTAACTCTTTGGAATAGAAATAAATTTGAACTCTGATTTGCTTCTCATCCTTTGTTCATATTATAAGTTTCACACATGTAAATGTGAGGTCATAAGTTGCTTAAAAGTCTCTAAAAAATATTGGATCTAAAAAACATGGAAAATAACGTGACAAGGATGATGACAAATTTTCTTAAATCTCCCATCACTTTGGATCCATATAATTTCTTAGCTTATTTGTCTTTACCAGTTTGTTAGATATGTTTTAGAGGAATCCGGGCTTGTCTCGATTGTTTTTTATTTTTTAAATATTTTTGTGCATTTCTTTTTGTTTTCCAGCATTTTTCTCTTCTGTTTTAAATAAAAAAATTGTCAACCAATTTTTAAAATGGATAGTGAAGTCATAAACCATGGGCAAAAGAATATTGTTATAAACTTACAATGTCAGTCCAAACGGATCTAAAAGCTCATAATCAGTCTTCGAAAATAAATGTTTATTATTTCGTTATTAAAAATTTTCTGAAGTTTTTTTTTTTCCAAAAATGAGTAAGCCTTGCAAAAAGCATATTCAGAACATTTAATTTTTATTTAAACTATCTAAATTGTGTATCAATTTTATTTTTAAAAAATTGTGTAGTTAACAAAAATGTTTTTTCTAGGAGTCTCATGATGGAAAGCATGGGCCAATTGAATTTCAATGTGTGTCTTAGTTTGTTTCTGTAATTAGTTAATCGAAGAAACCCATAATCTTATCAGAATTCATGTGTAATGGGCCTGGTGGAATAACCCAATATAGTCATCGATATTTTTTTTCAATAAATCACGAATCAGAACGGAAGATTTGTTTCTCTGGAATAGAAATAAATTTGAACTGAGATTTTGTTCTCCGTCATTTAGTTCACGTCATAAGTTTCACACACATGTAAAGGTGAGGTCATAACTTGCTTAAAATTAAAATCTTCAAAATCGGTAAAATATCGAATCATTAAACAAGAAGCCCCATAAAAAATAACCTGACAAGGATGACAAAAAGGGTTAGCTGGGATTTCAATGTTTTTTCTAGCTTCTAATTTTTCATTTTCCTCTATACTTTCTTTTTAATTGCAAATTTTTTAATTTTTTCTTTTCTAATGTGGAGACAATCCATTCGAATTTATCAGAGCGAGTCTCACATTGATCCAAGAAAAAAACAACATACTGAAAAATAATTTATATTTATATATCATTCAAGGATGGCGGCTCTTTTAAAATGATTAAGATGATGACTCAATGCTTTGAAAATGATTTTAGATAAATAATCTTAGCAGTATTAACAAATTAGCTCAACCTCCATACTTAGGGTCACAGCACGATATTAAAACTTTCATTGATGATATCTTATCTCTTTATGGGGTCTTTAGTAATTAGCTGTTTATACATATTTAGGGATATTTTTAAAACCAACTATTTTTTTTTAATAATTCTGCAAAGCGAAACATGGAAAAAAAAATCTAGCATTTGTTTTTCTCTTGTTAATTGGGTAGAGACGAATATTATTCTACTGATAAATCTGTACTTTTTACTCTTAAATCTTCTATCACTTTGGATCCATATAATTCCTTAGCTCATCTGTCTTTTAACAGCTTGTTAGGTATTTTTAGAGAAATTTTGGCTTGTCTCAATTGTTTTTTTTTTAATTTTTTAATATTTTTATGCATTTCTTCTTATTTTTTTCAGAATTTTTCTATTCTTTTTTAATTAAAAATTCATCATCCAATTTTTAAAAGGGTTGGGGAAAAGAATATTAGTCCAAAAGGATCTAAAGGTTCCTCATCAATATTTGAAAATAAATGTAGTCATTAAAAAGTTTCTGAAGGATTTATTTTTTCAAAATAGGTTTGCCTTAGAAGAAACATACTTGGAACATTTAATTTTGTTTTGGATAATCTAAATGAATAATTTTATTTTTTAAAAAATTTTGTAGTTTGAAAGAACTATTTTGCTGGGAGTCTCATGATGAAAAACGAAGGTCAATGGGATTTCCATGTGTCCCTTAGTTTGTTTTCTTAACCTTTATTGGAGGAACTCAATATGAATTAATGAATCCACAAAATCCGAAAAGACAACAAAATGAAGGGAAGTAGAAAACATAGAGTAATGGGCCTTGTGAAACAGCCCATTATGTTTTCTGACATTAAGCTGTCCAAATTTCTCAACAAATCACATGTCCAAATTATTTGGTCTATGGTCAATAGCCCAGCCAAATGAAAAGTGTTATTCCTTTTTATAAATAATAATTGTAGTTGTGTTTTATCATTTAGAATCAATTTGTGTTATTTCTCAGAAACGTGCAAGTCTTACCATATGTGTTTTGAAAAATACAAATTTGTCTTATGTGCATAATAACTTATTAAAAATCGTTACTGACATTATTCTTTTTGTTTCCCCTCTAATATTTGAAGGGGGCATCCCAAGTGAGATTGGGGATCTTTCACAATTGAAGACATTGTATCTTGGAAATAATCAACTTGCTGGTTCAATACCATCTTCATTATTCAACAATTCAGTGCTGCAAGACTTTGAACTTGCAATAAATAATTTATCTGGCAGTCTCCCAATAAATGTGTGTGTTGGGCTTCCAAAGCTACAAATATTTTATGTGAATGGAAATGACTTGTCTGGCCAAATACCCTCCACTTGGCATCAATGCATAGAATTATTAGAGTTACAATTGTATGATAACAAATTCAACAGAGGAAACATACCAATTGACATTGGAAATCTGACCAAACTTCAGTGGCTATCTCTTTCCAACAGCAACTTGCAAGGTAAGAGTTTTCATTATTATATGATTGTCTTAAATTTTGATAAGTCATGAATTTGCGTTACAAATTTAATGAATAATACTTTTATTAGATTACTTCTAAAGACATGGAACTTGATTCTTTCTCTTCATCCCAAAATGAAATACTGCATCATTGAAAAATAAACTAATAAGCATTTGCACCAATCACATTCCTTCTGTTCTTATTTTTCACTTTCTCCTGCGTTTTCTTATCTGTGTCGATAACATATGTTCTTATGACATGTAAATGGAATATATCTTCAATAAAATTAGAAAAATATTATCTACTAATACTATAGAATGATAAAACATTATAAATAGTATAAAAGCTGAATCTTATATGTAATCTTATATATAATATGCTTGTTCTATAATGCTTGCAAAATGTTTTAGCTGAAATTGCTTTAAGAGTGATGAAGATTCTAGTATACATGATATGTTTTACACAATCCATTTTTCTTAACTAATTGACATCAGGAAAAGTTATGTCGTTGCACACAGGGTTTAAAAAACTTAAATGCAAAATATAAATAATTTGCTTCTTCATTTAAAATTGGTGAAATTAATTCCGTTATCTGCCTCTAGCATTTCTTCTTTACAAGAAATTTTAATTTCGAATTATTTGATATTAGAAAAGTCCCTTTTAAATTGCTTTCCAATAAAAACTAAATTATTTCCTAATAATTTTAAAGCCTCTAATTAACACAACTCCATGCATATCCATAATGAGGTTTAAATATAAATAATAATTTACAATCCCAACATATTAAAAGATCAAATTATGAATTGATAGTAGCCTATTATTTTGGTTTTGGTTGAAGATAGTAGCCTATTATTTTTAAGGCAAGTTCTCGACTTGTTATATTTGAGTATTACTTGAGGTTCTTTGGTTATATTTAAGGCAAGTTCTCAACTTGTTTTTAGACATGCCAGAGTTAGTAATATATGAAAATTTTTCTATGGTGGGACAAGTTTAATACTAAAAACAGAAAAGGTTGCAGTTGTGTTTTTTCTTATTTATTAGTAGTACAATAAACATTTATTTAAATAAAATAAGTATAAAATATCAATTGTGAATAATTATAAAGAATTCAATTTAAAAAATTTAAACGCAATAATAATTCAATAAACACAAGTTCAACCGTAGTTGAGAAAAAAAGCTCATAAAAAAGAGAGCATATAAGATGTTTTAAATAGTCTGATAAATAATTAAACTGTTTTATTGTAAGTCATTTATATTGAAGTGGAAGCATTCAGTACATTCAATTCTTTATAAAATTAAATAAAGCTTTTCACAAAAAAAAAATTCCACTAATAGTTTCTTAATAATTTTTTTAATTTGAAATTTAAAAGAAGTATGAAAAATCAACATGAGGGAGAAAGTAGGTGGGATTGCACCAAAAAAAATGCGGACTCTCACACGCAAAAAAAAAAAAAAAAACCTTCATGCAGAGATAAATTGCTGAAAAGTATTCTAATGTCTTATCCGTACATGATTAGTTGACAATGCATAAAAATTATAGTTAAACTTAATGCACTAATTTGCAATATTAAAAGGAAAGAAATTTGATGGTTAGAGGAAATTTGCTTTTCCCTTTTAATATTTATGAATTTTCTTTTTTATTTAATGTATATTATATGCAAACAATATTACAATGCCAAAATAAAGAAAAGGTAAGGTCATGGACTGATGGGACCACTTGATATCTAAAGCATCATTTATATACTCTGATCAATAAAATGGCTCCAGGAATCATTTCGTCGTTACAACAATTTGCAAGGTTATAGTTTTAATTATATGATTTGTCTTAGACCGTGTTGTGTGTTTTTGTTTTTTTGTTTTTGATCTCTCAAATGAAAAATAATTTTAAAATGAGATTCTACTTTTCAATTTTTTTCATTCATAACAGAAATCTTTGGAAAGAGAAATAAAATATAATTTGGATCATTAAAAAAAAAATTGGGGAAGCCCTGTAAGAACTGGTCTGGAAAAACTTTGTGGACTATCAATATATGCTATGGTGTAATAATCTTTAGGGGTACCTCCCAATTTTTACCCAGCAAAAATGTCTTTAAAAAGAAAAATAAAATTTAATTTTGGATCAGTAGAATAAGTATGTGTTCGCTATCAACATAATGTTTGTTTTTATTTGACGAAAAGAATTGTACTTGAAAAGATTTCCTAATACTTCCAATTCTCTCGTCAACATACACATAACTCGTATCTTATCCACTTTTAAATTGAAACAGGTGAAATTATATCCTTAATTTTATGCTTTATCTTCAAAATGTGTGACTAAAGGTATTTAAATTCCTTAAAGAAAAACTAAAATTTCTGCCCTTTTTTTGCCTATGATGAATTCATCCTCAGATTTTAAAGTTAGAGCCTTTTTAAAGACTTTGGATGTTCATTTTACAGTTAGATAAGATTAATTTCATAGTCTCTGATGTGCAGCAATTGGCCATTAATATTGAAAGAGTCCCCTTTAAACTACGGTCCAACAAAAATTAAATTATTGTATATTAATTTTAAGCATCTAATTATCAAAATTCCATGTATTATCTACATGCTTGTGTGCGTCTGACTTTATTAGGAACATGCTTGCAATACTACCAAGTAATGAACAAATATTTTGTATTTTATTTATAGGTGAAATTCCTTCATTTCCTTGGAACATGCCTTCTTTGAGACATGTTGACCTTAGCGATAACTATTTAGAGGGAAGCATTCCACAATCAATAAGTAACTGCACATCTTTGAAAGAATTATATTTGGATGGGAACTCATTTACAGGTATGTACTTATTTATTTGTGTTTTTTTTCTTTTTAATATTTTTCTCTCAAATGAGATTTTGTTTTTCTCTAAAATCCCAATCATGGACGTCTGCAATTTGCAACAGAGAAAAATGAAATCCTCACATATGCTATTGATGACAAACTCCAAACCACCAATACTTTTTTATCAAGATTTTTTTCTGTCTTTTAATTACTTTAATTTTATTTTTTTCTTGTATTAATATTTAAATAATATTAAAATACAGATAAGTTTGGAGTTGGTTTTACTTATTTATTATATATATATAAATTGTAACAGTTCAACATTGTTTAATTGAAATTAAAATTATAATATTTTAAAAATTTTGTAGATATGTATAGAAGATCAAATACAAATTATACAATAAATGAAACTCATAAAATGCTTGTTCATCCAAATTTAAATGCAACATACATACCTATTATATGCCAGTACCTTTTTTAGATTTTATCTGTTTCCTAAAAACTTTAATTTTATATTTTTTCCCTCTCTATTGTAGAGTACATTTTTTTATCTGTTATGCTTCTTTTTCAATTTCTTATTTTTCAAATTCATTAATTTCAAATTAAACACTTATTCAATAATTACAGTATAAAAACTTTTATTTTTCAAAAGCAATACTAGTCCTTTCAGATATTTCACCAAATTTCATATTACAATATGGGATCAGATATTTATTTACTATTTTTTAAATTAAGGGTCCTAAATCACAATTTTATATATTGGAAGTTTTTATTTATTATTTTTCCTTAATACAATCCCAAAATAACGGAAAGATAGGATCATGACCTCATCAACTGAGCTGATGGGCCCACTTCAAAAACAGAATTTCTCAAGTACTCAGCGTTTATGTGCCCACTTGCCACATGTAATTTTTTATTTTTCAAATTTATTAATTTCAAATTAAATGATTCTTACCAACAAAAAATTAAATAATTTTGATATTTTTTATTTAAAATTTTTTAAAAGAGTTGAAATTAATGTAAAGAATAATTTTTCTTTTGTATTTTACTCTTCCGAATTGAAATGAGTATTACTTGAAATTCTTTTGTTATATTTAACGCAAGTTCTCGACTTATTTGTAGGATGGGATAAGTTTAATACTAAAAACAGAAAAGTTTGCAGGTGCATTTTTCCTTATTCATTACAATAAAAAAGAAATTTATTTAAATAAAATAATTATAAAATATCAATTGTGAATAATTATAAAGTGGAATTATTCAGTACGTTCAATTGATAATAATTATCTTCAACATAAAACTCTCCACTAATAACTTCTTAATCATTATTTTATTTTAAAATTAAAAGAAGTATGAAAAATCAACATAAGGGAGAAAGCATGGGAGATTACATAAAAAAATGTCGATTCATTAAACAGAGCAAAGTATACTTAATAATTTCTCACTGAAACTGCACAAAACAAGAGATAAATTGCTAAAAGAGTAGTCTAATGCTTTATGCCGTACATGATTAATTAGCAATGCATAAAAGTTATATAATAAACTTAATGTACTCGTTTGCAATATTAAAAGGTAAGAAATTTGATGGTTAGAGGAAATTTGCCTTTTTCCTTTTTAATATTTATGCATGGATTAATCAGTATAACACACATGTTCAAGTTTTAGAAATTAGTACGTAAGACCGTGAAGTTTCTTTATTATTTGTGTATATTATATGCAAACAATATTACAATGCCAAAATAAAGAAAAGGTAAGATCATGGACTGATGGGACCACTTGCTATATTTAAAATGTGAAAAAACAATTTTTTTTAAATTTTAGTCTTAATCTACCACGTCATTTGTATATTTTGATCAATAAAATGGCTTCATATATACTTTGTCCAGGAATCATTCCAAGTGAGATTGGAAATTTGACAAACCTCCAATTCCTTGGTCTTGGCGAGAACATTTTGCAAGGTAAGAATGTTAGTTATATGATTGTCTTAGATTGTGTGTGTGTTTTTGTTTTTTGTTTTGTTTTTGTTTTCATCGTTGGAATGAAAAATAATTTTAAAATAAGATTTTGCTTTTCATTTCTTTCATTCATGTTAAAGAATCATGAGAAGCTTACTAAAGATTTTGTATTCATAATAGAAATCCTTGAAAAGAGAAATAAAATATAATGTTAGATCATTAAAAAAAATTAGAGAAGCCCTATAAAAACCGGTCTGAAAAACTTTGTGGACTATCAGTATGTGATGTGGTATAGTAATCTTCAGGGATACCTCCCAATTTTTACCCCAGCAAAAATGTCTTTAAAAAGAGAAATAAAATTTAATTTTGGATCAGTAGAATAAGTATGTGTTGGCTATCAATATATTGTTTGTTTTTGTTTGATGATAGGACTTGTACTTGAAAAGATTTCATAATATTTCTAATTCTCTTGTCAACATTTACATAACTCGCATCTCATCCGCTTTTATATTAAAGCGGGTAAATATCCATCTTTAATATTATGTTTTATTTCCAAAATATGTAACTAAAAGTATTTAAATTCCTTAAAGAAAAACTAAAATTTCAGCCCCTTTTTATTGCCTATGATGAATTCATCCTCAGATCTTAAAGTTAGAGCCTTTTTAAGTACGTTAATAACTATAATACAGAATATAAATAATTTGGATGTTCATTTTAGATTAGGTGAGATTAATTCCATAGTCTCTACTTTTCAGCAATTCTTCTTTGAAAGAAATTTAACATCCAATTGGTCATTAATATTGGAAGAGTCCCTTTAAACTATGGTCCAACAAAAAATAAATTATTTTCTATTAATTTTAAGCATCTAATTACCAAAATTCCATGTATTATTTATATGCTTGTGTACGGACGGATTTATTAGGAACATGCTTGCCATACTACGAAGTAATTAACAAATATTTTGTATTTATTTATAGGCGAAATTCCTTCATTTCTTTGGAGATGCTGTCATTAAAAGAGATTAGCCTTGCTGACAATCATTTAAAGGGTAATTTGTCTGAAGAAATGTGTCATCAACTCCCTTTACTTGAATCTTCAGTGTTGTTAATAATCAATTAAGGGGAAGCATTCCACAATCAATAAGCAACTGCACATCTTTGAAAGAATTATATTTGGATATTAACTCATTTACAGGTACGCACTTACTTGAGTGTTTTCTTTCTTTTTAATATGTTTATGTAAAATGAGATTTTGTTTTTCTCAAAATCGCAATCATGAACAATGGATGTCTTGAAATTTGTAACAAAGAAAAGCAAAATCCTCACATATACGATTTGATGACAAAACTCCGAACCATACAATACTTTTTTATCAAGATTTTTTCTGTCTCTTAATTACTTTAATTTTATTTTTTCTCATCTTAATATTTAAATAATATTAAAATACAGATGAGTTTGGAATTGTTTTTACTTATTTATTATGTATATATAAATTGCAACAATTCAACATTTTTTAATTGAAATTAAAATTATGATATTTTAAAAAATTACAACGTAGTAATTAAAAAATGTACAATAAACAAAAATTATTTAGATACGTATAAAAGATCAATTACAAATTATACAATAAATGCAACTCATAAAATGCTTGTCCAACCAAATTTAAATGCAACATACATACCTATTATATGCCAGTCCTTTTTTCTAGGTTTTATGTGTTTCCTAACAACTTTAATTTTATATTTTTTCCCATAGAGTACATTTTTCCATCTGTTATGCTTCTTTTTCAATTTTTTATTTTTCAAATTCATTCATTTCAAATTAAATACTTATTCAATAATTAACAGTACAAAAAATTTTATTTTTTCAAAAGAAATATTAGTCATTTCACCTCAAGTGTAATTTATGATTTTCTTAATTTTTTTCATTTCTAAATTTTACAAAGACTTGAACAAATTAAAAAAAAAATTTCTTGGTACATTTTACTCTTTTGGTTGAAATGAGTATTACTTGAAATTCTTTTTAATATATTTAACGTAAGTTGTAGAATTTTTCGTAAACATACCATTTTTAATAATATTTGATAATTTATGTATAATATTTGATAATTTCTTCTTTTCTATACACACGCAAACACATGGTAACAACTCTATCATTTAATTAAAATTAAAATTATATTGACATTTTTCTAAAAGAATCACAGCATATGAATTAAAAATTTGAAATAAGCAAAAGATTTTTTTTAAAATAGATATAAAAATCAATTACAAATTATAATATAGAGATCAAATAAAAATTTAAATATAACTCAAACTGATGAAGAATAATATGAGATATTTTAATTGTTCAACAAATAGAAGAACTGGTCTGCATGTTGTGAAATTAAACAAAGCTTTTCAAGCTAAAGTTTTTCACATGTTAACTTCCTGGAGGGATAAACTGCTGAATAAGTAGTTTAATGCTATAGGCAACACATGATTTATTGGCAATGCGCAAATAACTAATAGCCGAAGCCAAAGCAAACACTCAAGAAAATCCTAGCATACAACCCAACATACCAGTAGAACAACAAAACAACACTTAACAAAGAACAACAAGCAACAAGTAGTTAGACAATACCAGATAAAAAGTCACAATTAGAAAGCTCAAGATCATGCTGCAGAATATGAAATAGAAAGGGTGGTTCAGAAAACCATCCTTGTGGTACCATTCCTTTCAAAACCTCTGCTGCTAAATAATCAGTAGGTCTACCGCCCTTGTGAGAAACCAAAGACAGAGACCAATTATGCACACTCAATGAGATTTTAAAGGAATTATATTTGAATATTAACTCGTTTTACTTTTGTATGTCCTTTTTTTCAAAGATTTTATCTATCTCTTAATTACTCTAAGTAGTTAGCCAATACCAGTCCTAGAAAGCTCAAAATCATGCTGCAGAATATGAAGCAAAAAGGGTGGTGGTTCAGAAAACCATCCTTTTGGTACTACTCCTTTTAAAACCTCTGCTGCTAAACAGTCAGCAGCTCTATTGCCCTTGCCAAAACCAAAGACAAAGACAACTTTGAATAGCTGCTTAGCATGACATCTTCACAGCTCAACTCGCATCCCTTGAATTCAGAAGCTCTCAATCTGTGAAACAGCTCTTGACAATCAGTGTCAACTATCACCTTCTTTTCTTCCCACCTCTCACTGCAATTTAAAGCTTCCAGGATTGCCAAGGTTTTGCAATAAGAGCTGAATATGCCTTAACCTTCATTCCCAAACCACCAACAAACACACCATTCTCATCTCTTCCCAACAACCCTATAGAAGCAGCCATATCAAATAACTTGAAAGAAGCATCCAAGTTCAACTTGATTGCTCCATTCTCAGGTGCCCTCCAAATTCTCGCTCTTTCAACACCATTGCCCTCCATCTTATGTCTCCCCCTTTGTTTTTGAGCCCCATCATAATCTCTAACTAGCCTTAACACCCTTGCTACACATCTAATAGCATCCAAAAATATGCCTGCACCCAGCTTTCCAAATTTTCCAGCAGGTGGTAGCAAAAAGAGTGATACTAAAATCATCATGTCCCATCTTTTGATTCATCGATTCCTCCATCCACCTGGCCATATCACACATCCTTGATTTATTGAATCTTAGTGACAAAGGTAACCCAAACCAACATCTCTCAGCCCATAGACGTAAAAATAAAGCATGCTTAATTGATTCCACCTGACATCTACAAATATCAGGTAGGTGTACTAGAGTATTTTCTTCTAAAAAGAGCTTCCTTGATGGCCAAAGCTCCACTCACTACTTTCCACATAAAATGAGCTGCCTCAGGAGGGATCTTCAGCCTCCACAATTGATTCCACAGCTGTTTAGATACCTCCTGGATCTCTCAATCTTCCACCGTCTTCTCTGCCTAAAGTTAGCTACCCTATACCCCAACTTCAGAGAATAATTACCATCTCTACTTATCATCCAAAGACACTTATCTGCCAAATTTGATCCAGCAGTATTAAAAGAGTTAATGAGAGCTTTATCTTCATCACTGAATCAATCTTTCATTGCTTCAAAGCACCAAGAATTATTCCTGATTAAGCTCTTCACAGTCAAACTCTCTTTTTCTTCATCCAAATCTCTGGAAGCCAATGCATACCCATTAGCATCAGGAATCCAATTGTCAACAAAAACTCTGATCCTCTCTCCAGTCCCTACTCTCCAACAAAGATCTTTTTTTAATTAAATCTCTTCCTTCTAAAATGTTAGACAACCTGAAGAGTATCTCTAACCTTGCTTTGCTTGCGAAAAGTCACTATCCGAAAAATACAAACCCTTTAAAATCCTACACCATAAAGCATCTGTATTTTGAACCAACCTCCATGTAGTATTAGCAAGGAGAGCTTTGTTAAACAACTCTAGATTCCTAAAACCCATTCCACCTTCACTTTTTGAAAGGCTTAGCGAACTCCAAGATTTCTAGTGTATTCTACCTTCTTGTTCCCTCTGACCCTACCAGAACCTTGCCATCATGCTATCCAATTCAACACAAACCTTCTTTGAAAATCTGAAACAGGAGATAGGAAACACAGGTACTGTGCTTGCTACTACCTTAATCATCACTTCCCTCCCAGAAAACATCAACAACTTTTGTTTCTGTCTCTGTAATTTCAAACTAAACTTGTTTTTAACAAACAAAAGAGCCTCTGACTTTGACTTTCCCACATCATTGGCATTCCCAGATATTTACTAGGACTATCACTAGTTGCTTTAAAGATCCAAACCTCATATACTTTCCTCTTAAAATCCTCGCTTGTGTTCTTTGAGAAAAACAAACAGGACTTATCAAAATTGATTGCTAGTCCTGAAGCCTTACAATAGCAATCTAATATGCCTTTCAACATTTTACAATTCTGCTTTCTTGCATTCACAAAAAATAAAGCATCACCATCAAAAAAAGTAGTGAGACACCATTGGACACTTTCTTGTGAAGAAAAATCCGTTAGTCACCTTAAGT